TATTCTGTGTAGATAGTCATTTGTGTAATGGTTCTGATTTTTGTTCTAAAATCTTGAATTGCAGCACTCGGTAGTTTTGCTACGGGGTAATAAAATTAAGTCCATTCGTCATTGAGTTGCCATCAAGGTGTGTCATATTCTGTATTGTCACCCGTTTCTCTAGTGGAAAATGAGTCTGATTTTAGTAAGGTGGAGAGAAAATTAGAAAGTTTGTGAAAATTTATTGTTCTCCGTTATTTACCCAGGCTTTGGGTTCTCTGGTTATCCCACCTGTAGGTGTTCCGTTGATACTACCTAGGTTAGCAGTACTTTAGTTTCCTATTCATAATTGTGTTATGAATTTGAATTTGTACCAACCAATTACTCTGAAAGGAATTCAACTGCAACTTCCAATTATGTTGCGTATCAAAAAATGTTTCATCCGTTCACCGTCATAAATTAATGAAACTGATCTAATTTAGTACATCATTAGGTAGGTTCTTTTAGAATAATTCAGAAAATGGGCTACTCCCTTTTTACTAGAGCACTCGAGAAGAACACGTTAGCAACAATGGTTGTAAATATAAACGAGGACACTTTAGTTTATATTCATTTCTTCAAATTTAAGGGGTTGGTTTACGCATAGGCCGGGTAGGTTAAAAACTTCTGCCTAGAAAAAGGGCAGCGTCAAGAAAGTAACTAACTAACCTAATACCAATTTCGAAACCCTAAAAAAACTATCTTATCCAGTGAAACAGTAAAAAAACAACTCAATACACTCTTCTTTCTTAACTTAACTTCATCAGTTCACTTGATTGCACTTCACTAAACTTCAGGAAACTTGACTTAAACTTCACTTCAGTTCTATAGGAATTGTAAACAGGGTACATTTTTTCTTTTTCTTCCTCCTTTTCTAATTTATAATCTTGCCTCTCATTATGCTTCTTATTCTTAAATTAACTTGCCTTTCTTGAATGGCCCTTCAAATCTTACTTCAAGTTCTCCTCATAATCGCTGATCAATCTTCTATTGCTAACACCATCTTGATAAAAAAGTTTTCTCTTCATTGGTGATTCTAATTTTCCAACTAATTTCTTTAAGCTGACTGCGTAATAATTGTACCTCTTCAATTCCTTCCTCTTTTCCACTTCGCAAGTAACTTCTCAACATCTAAAATTATACAGTGGTGTTAAAAAGTCGTGCATCACACAAAATTCTTGAAAATAGAACTTTAAGGCACTTACCGCAAATATTTTTCACCCAATTACTCTATATATCAAACAATCACTCAATTTATATTATAATAAAATAGAATGACAGAAAAAATTTTGAGATTGATGAAGCAATGCAGTTGGAAAAATGTTTTATTCAAAATTAAAAAAATGAGGTAATGTAAATTAAGACAGTATTTTAGATAATATTGGGTTAATTTAAACTAATTTTAATATTTAATTGGCCAGCCCTTGTTTTTGATAACTAGTTCACATCTTTTTGGCATGGAATTTACCAATTTTTTCAGTTCCTCCAATGAAATGCAGTGATACCAGGTGTGGATTAGAGATTCGATCAATTCTGTCTTATTTGTGTTTTCTTTTGGATATGGTATTCGATATCCTTTGCCACAAATTCTCGATAGGATTAAGGTGCGGAGATTGCGCTGGCCAGTCCAACCTATTGATTTTATTCCTCTCCATCCATGATTGAACCAATTTTGCTCTATGGCTCTACTTGACCAAACAGGTCTCTTCCACTGGGTAGCATCTTGTCTTGCAGTACATTGATGTATTTGGCAGCGTTCATCATTCCAGAGACGACGTGTAATCGACCCCATATCCCCATATCATAACGGAGATTGGATGTTTAATTGTTGAAAGAACACATTTTGGCAAAAATTCTTCACCGGGAAACCTTCTGACGTAAGTGTTTCCGGCATGGTTATTGATATTAAAAGTAGATTCGTCGCTAAATAATACATTTCGTAACACCTTTCGTAAGGAAATTACTTCACGTAAATTAATGATAGATGGTGTACCGTACTCTTTCACAGATTGCACTCATTTAGCCATTTATAACAAGTGTTACACAAATTATTCCCAGACTTTAATATCAAATACTGCGTATGCGTATATTGTACATGAGAATGTGAAGCTAAAGTAAACAATCAAGCGTCCCTTAAGCTAACCCCAATTCTGCCTTTATGGAGCGTCTTTATGTATTTTATTCCTTAGTAGGGTTCCGAAGATATGGGGACCCCTCCATGCCGATAGTTAATATTTTTCACTTCTAAGGATATCGACTACCAAAGTAAGGGGAAGATTGCGTTAAATGGCAATAAACGTAGAACGTCGCTATCTAAACGATCGACTCCCCATCAAACGACAATGGTGAATAATTTATTTGGAAGTGGATATTCTTCATGTATCTCATAATAAATTATTTGCGAAGTTCTGAAATGCAAACAGCGAACTTAAACTTTTAAGTTTGGAATTAATCAAACAATCTGAGAAAGTTACAATGGAATTGTAATGGAAATTTACCTTGGGTAAATGATTCGTGTGATTTCAGATTTGCAATTTCGTGTAAATACCGACTTCAGTTTTAATTAAACGCGGTCTCGCTTCGTGGATGATTTTTGGTGTAAGGAAGACGCACCTATCAATGTTGACATACGAATCAACAGCAAAAGAGAGAACGTGGTGGCAGGCTGAAGACTTAAGTGGAACGCACCGCTTTAATATCATATTTACCGTCAATTTGAAATTCATTTAGACCATGTGCTTTTTAACAACGCCAAAGGAAAGCAATAAATGACTGCTAATGAAGCCGAGCTTACAAAGTTTTCTAATATATTTTATATTATGACTGCCTTTAATGAAAACTCGCTGTGAATTTGGGAGCGGTTGTATAGGCGCACTCCGATTATAATAGCGCCAGATTTTATATTTGCGCTTTATCAAATGTGAATTTTTGTTAGGGACTTTCCTTTTTAATTTTGAGAATATTTTATAATTCTAATCCTGGAGCAAGGGCTAAAAAGAGGGCGTAATTGAGATTTCTTTGAATCGAATTTCTGATTTCACAAAGAAATTTTGTATTTATATTAAAATGTCACCGAACACCGCGCCACTAAATTATTACCTTCATTTTCGTTTTACTTCAAGACAAGCTGATAATAACGGAAGCATGGAAACTGTATACAATAGCATAATACATTTTCGGTATTTATATAGTCTATTATTTATATGTAATCTCGCATAGGGCGACTTTAAAAAATAATAAATAATCGTCTTATATTTATAAAAACTCTCCATGAAATCCCAGTTGTTCTACCTCCTTCGCTTTGAAGCAACAAAACGATTTTCTTCAATAAACTACGTTATTTGGGAATTCAATTTACAAATTGTTGTAGCAGGTTTAATTAGTAGGGGTCCCAAACAATTGTGCAGTGTGTAAAAATAAATGGGCGGAAAATGGAACCAAAGCAAGCATTTTTTTTTTAATTAATCCATATAGTAGGGGAGCTAGCACGAAATCAACTGAACGAGAATGATCAAAATTTTAACCGATGGAGTTCCATTTTGCCCTATCAGAGTATGCTAAAATCGATCGTCTGCCGCCTCAGGTCATATGACTTAAGACGCTGCGGGTACTTCTTGCGGTACCAATTCTGAAAGGTTGTTTTTCAAGAAAATAAGTATACACCAAATGAAAACGTTGATAATAGCTCTTAAAAAAATATTTAAAAAAATCCCGCGTATTTGATAACTCCGTAAAAAAACAATTCTTAGTCGGTTTTTCACGAACTTTCTACGGATATAACTAGGTTACCGTTGGAAGAATGAAGCTGATTTTTTTTTACCCACTAATGATAGGTACAGCCAATGACTATGAGAGTGTTTCTTTTGTAAATTTTTTCTCTAATTATAAGATATCTTATAATGTTAAGCTAATAAGATAATCTTGTAATTAGAGACAAAATTTAAAAACGAAACACCGTTAAGTCATTAGTAGTACCTATCATGAGTCTGTAAAAAAAATCAGCTTCATTCGTCCCACCGTAACCTAGTTATATCCGTAGAAAGTTCGTGAAAAACCGACTAAGAATTGTTTTTTTACGGAGTTATCAAATGCGCGGGATTTTTTTAAATATTTTTTTAAGAGCTATTATCAACGTTTTCATTTGGTATATAACTTATTTTTTCGAAAAACAACCTTTCAGAATTGATACCACAAGAAGTACCCGCAGCGCCTTAAGTCGTATGACCTGAGGCGGCAGACGATCGATTTTAGCATACTCTGATAGGGCAAAATGGAACACCATCGGTTAAAATTTTGATCATTCTCGTTCAGTGGATTTCGTGTTAGCTCCCCTACTAATACAGTACCTATACAGATGCCCGAAAGACCGTCTCTTCGCCCTTTGTAGGTTAAAGGACGACATAAACAAGCTCATCAGCCGAGCACTGCCGTGGATACAAGAACCAACTTACAGGAAATCCCTCCAGGAACCCTGGCAGCACACCGCTGGTATAGACTAGTAGTCTCACGAACCGACAAGCAAAACTTGTGCTCCATTAATGAATAATTCTTCCAAATTTTATATTGTGTAAAATTTGGTTGGGGATGCATTAGGATTTATAACCCTAAAGCTATAAAGGGTGTTTTTTTAAGGAATTGTTGGTACCCTTATTAGAGGACTCACCTTTATTTCAGCAATTGCAGAAAATAATCCAATTTGAAAACAGCACTTCAATTGTCACCTAAAAATAGACTCCTTTTCCATTGTAAAATTTAAAATGTTATTATTTTTAAAGTATTTATACGTTTTGAAATTTTGAAAATACGTTCAAACTACATAGTTCATTCAGTTTCAGGAGTTGTAACCTTTATCGTATGTACAATCAAATGTTTTCCTCCTTGATAAATCTTGAGTAAACCTTAAGTGGTTTATATCAATATGTCATACTCATATACTCTGCCTCTGTAGTTGACATAGCTACTATACGGTGCTTTCTTGATTTCTACGACAGAGGGCCTCTGTTGAGTATAAATATGTACCCAAAGAAACGTCTCCTATTGTCGGAATTGTTGCTCCAATTTGAATCGATAAATCCAGCAATCGCTACTGAATTTGAACCTAAAATAAATCCTACGTCAATGGTTCCCTTCAGATACCGTAACAGTCGCTTCGATACTGTCCAGTGATTGATGCCATAACAGTTGTTAAATTGCCCCAGGTAATTCACCGGAAACCAAATATCAAGTCGAGTAGTAAGAACTCCGACCAACTCACGATACGGAAACTTTTTCTTTAACTTGAAGTTGCTACTGGATTGCATGTCGTCATCCTGAATTGTTCCAGTAAAATTTAAATATATCCGGATTGACACATTTGTATCCCTTGAACTGATTTCTCAAATTGTATACCAAGACAATTCTTCACAGTACCCAAATCCTTAATCTTGAAGTGTTCGCCCAATCCACGTTTAAGCTCAGCTATTTTTCACGGTTCCGAAAAGCGACCAAAATGTCATCAACGTTTAAGGGTAACGTCGTACAGGGATTTAACAAACACATTTTCTTCCCTTGGCGCAGATCCCAAGGTAGGTATATTTAGCTCTTACTGTTTGACAATTTTGTTCCGTAACTCATCAAGCATGTACACAACAAATTTCGTGGAATTCTCTACATTTTCCTTGTCCTTGTTTTTTTTAAATTTTCAAAAACTAGTTTCAGTTTAGTGATTTTCATGTTCAAAAACTTCCAAATACCAAATTTCGTCGAAATCAGAATTTTTCTCGCAACCCCATTTAGGGGTGCGCCCTTTCGTGGCAGGAATTTTGAAAAACTTATTCAAAAACGTGTCTTCGTAACTCGTATGGTTACTGAGAAAAAGATTAAGCAAGACATGCAAATTTCACCATTTTTTTGGCGGTAACTCCAAAACGAAACACTTGGAGCCTCTGTTTATTTGGAAAAAGTGCTTGTTTTGATCCCCCTTTACCGCCCAATTTTTTTTTACATACTGATATGTAACACCCTGTATCAGGGGGTAAACACCAGACCTAAAATTTGTACAATACTTCCCCTTCGGGGGAAGTCCTCCAGTACTTCCTCTTAACTTCCCTATACTTCCCCGTACTTCCCTTTACTTCCTCATACTTCCCCGTACTTCCCAGTACTTCCCCCAAACTTCCCTTGTACTTTCCCGAAATTCTACTGTAAGTAGACATTGATATAGACTTTAGACTTGCTTCTTGAGTGTTATACATAGTAACGCTTATAACGAGTCCACGAAAATACATTACATGCGAAATGCGAATGGATGTGAAATGCACACTATACATGAAATGAAAAATTAGATAAGTGTTAATCATTATTTATTTTCACACTTACCTATTTAATATGTACCTTTGTATTTACATGAGGTTTGAAAGAATTTTTAATATGAAAGAAATTAAGACATAAATAATTGTCCTGCCGGCATTTATTGCTAAATTTTATAATTAATATATACGGGACAATAATAATATTCATAGATGGATACTTAACAATACTAATTTATCGGTAATCACGCAAACCGTCATCTAAAAGTATTCGGACTCCCATTAATAATTGAAATCTGAATATGTGCATAGGTACTAACATAGTTTTCCTCGTTTTCCATGATATATAGAAAGAAAATATTATCATCATTGTGTCAGTTCCAGTTTTACCGGATGTGGATAGCAACTTTCCTATTTTAAATAGAACACACTATATTGTATTTCAAAAGTTTTCAAGCTATTCAAAATTTTTTCAAAACTTCTGTTTGTCATTATAAGGTTAGGGGTTGATATTATTGATATTTTATGTGATTCTATGTAATAGTACATTAGGTATATACCAAAGTAGAAAAGTCTAGTATTATTATCTAAGCACAAAGATTACACCCTGAGGAAGCGCCGAGGAATGTAGATGCGTAACAGACCTCTCTATCGTGCTGTATGCAGGGTGTTTTAAAATGAGTAGGATAACATGGCTATCTTTGATATTATTATACTTACAAATTCCGTTAAATTGGCAAAGTTTACGTGTAGTCTTTGATGTTGATGCATATTCCGATGCGATATTTTGAAAAAAATAATTCGTTTCGTAGTAGATAATTGGAAAAATGTCAAAATCGTTTCAAATAAAAGTTGCAAGATTCGATCGGATAAATTCAACGGATATTCAATAGAATTTTTTTTCAAAATGGCGGTTTTCGAGATATTGACATCAACTTCCTTGTTTTGAATGGACGCCATATTGGATTTTTAAGTCACTCCATAGAGAAAAAATTACAAAACCAGTGATACTAAACACTTAGTATTTCATTTGGGTATCAACCTTGCATTTTTGCCTCGAAGTTTACAATGTATTTCTTATGGCAATAATTCCATGGCCGATTGTGTTTGAAACCAAATTCGTTCGTTATTTGTCTCGCTAGCTGGTTTTGTATTTTTGTCTCTATCGAGTGACGTAAAAGTCAAATATGGCGTCCATTTAAAATAAGGAAGTTGATGTCAATATCTGGAAATCCGGCATTTTGAAATTTTTTTCTACACTCATTGAATTTATCCCATCGAATCTTGCAACTTTTATTTGAAACTTTTTTCGATAGCTCTGTTTGTTACTAAAATATTTGAATTTTTTAAAAATGGCGATTTTTCATTTTTTATCAATTACCTACGAAACCATTTATTTTATTTCAAAATCTCGCATCGGAATCGGAATATCCATTAGCATCAAAAACTATACAACTGTTCCAATTTAACCAAATCTGTAAGTATAATAATAACAAAGATGGCCATGTAAGATATCTACTCAATTTAAGACATCCTGTATACTACTTCTTCCACTACTAGTAACGGGCGATCAAAAATGAGTTACTATCGAATCGCCTTTGGAAATTCAAGTTAAGTACGATTTACCATGTAAACAAAAATTCCAAAGCCTACTCGACATCAACTCATTTTTGATCGCATAGTACTTGAAGTCCTCTAAATTAACAGATCTATATTGTTAAAAAAGTGAACGGTTGAACAGAATTTTTGGTTTATTAATTTAATATGTCAATTACGTGGGTGGAAGTAACAGTCAAGGAGGCCGTATTTTCTTCTGCTATTGAGATATTTTCAAATAGTAGTTTCGTTCGAATTTTTTCGAAATGTGATAACTGTATGTAATTTCTCTTGAAATGGCGGATGGTGGCAATTATTCATTTTAGAAAACTTATCTGAACGTTTATTGAGCGAAATTTCAGGTTGTGATTTCTAAAATTGACAGCGTGACAGTTCTCATTATTGACTACTGGTTAATAATGACCATTATTAACTACTTTGAACAACTGGCGAGAAAGCCTGCTTTACAAGTGGAAAAAAGGTTAATAATATTATGTTATCAGACGCTAGTAGTGAAACAACAGGTTTTGATTTTAGGTATCTATATAGATAATCACAATCATAAGTGTTGACTTTTTTGGAACGAGGCGGGATTTATGCACTCAGAAATAACTACTTTATTACTTTTTAAGTGTTTACCAGATTTTACCTCTCCGGTCACCTTCTGTCACATTACGCACCATATGAACAAATGAGTATATTTATACTTCCTCGTTACTTCCCCCTACTTCCTCGAACTTCCCCGTACTTCCCTGGACTTGCAGTACTTCCCCGAACTTCCCCGTACTTCCCTGTACTTCCTCATAACTTCCTCCATTCTGTACAATTACTTCCCCTGGTGTTTACCCCCTGCCCTGTATAGTAAATGTTCGTCCCTCTAGCATATGTCGATCCTGCTTGATCATCTTGTATATTGCGAGGAGTTATCGATCGTATGCTCCATATTTTCTTTCGTCGGTTGATAATTTCTGTGAGAAGAAAGCGAGGGGTTGGTCATTCGTTATTATCCTTCTGCTGAATTACTCCGCCTATATCGCGACATCGGATACGTCGGTATTTACTGCCAATTTTACATCGTTTTTGCTTGTACTTTTTCTTCCATAGGTCGTGTGCCATTGATATCTTGATATCTTGATTTCCGAAACAACATTTTCTAATGTTGATGACCAAAATGTTTTTTTTTGTACTCGATTCATTTCCACGGGAACGTCCATTTCGGTGCCCCCCATTTTTCTTCGGCTTGATCCTACTGCTATTTTCATGAAATTAGCAATAACAGCACTATATCTAGATAAGTTTCGACTCTGAAGATAGCAATAGAATTACAGTAATACATTTCAGTCCCAACAAAAACGCTTTTGGAAAATGAGACAACCCTTTGGTTAAACATGTTACATAATTCTGACTTTATATTTACGTGTGTTGTTTCTAACACTTTTATTAATAGCTCAAAAGTCTCGAAAACTGCATCATATGAAATAAACCAAGTTGAACGCTGTGTTTAATTGGGGAATAGAATTTGAATTTGTGGATAAACACAAGGATCTGCCTGAAGCAATTTTTTAACCCAAACCGTAGATTTTTTATCAAATATCATACACAAATTCCCTATTCCCCTACATCATATTTTAGGGAAATATGAAAAAATATCTTAGAAACATTTCCCTGTAGTAAAATTCTGCAGACCAAGTTAAAAAATTCATTTCCCAGATTTTATCCGATAAATAAATCAACATCGCCGGCTACGAAAATAAAAGTGAAACTGCGCATGCAAAAACTAATAAAGTAAGATAGTTACAAACAATTAAACACAGTCGCGTTTTAAACGTATAAAAACTTGAGGAACATAAAGACGTTACCACAAATTTGGCATTTTATGCGAGTCTTACGGCAAAACTGAAAAGGGAAATAGTATAGTCGCAAAATTTTCTGTTGGAAACGGTCTTGAAAGTAATTGGAAAATGTAATCTTTCACTTCCATCGATAAATAAATCATCCCATGTTTCTGGGTTTAAACTTTAATCTTTGCAATCATCGCCTGTCACACTGAATAGGATTTTCGACGTAAACCTAATGAAGCTGTGTGCGCACAATTTTGTCAGTTCCCCCGTGATTTATTGTCTTTCAAATAATAGGCACCCCGCCTAATTATCATAAAGATTAAAAGCCGTAACGACAAAGAAAAAACGGCAAATCATGCGGAAACTGGCAAATTCGCAAACAAGTAAACAATATGAGCATTCAGCGTTTTGCGTTCGGGGTGATTTCTCTTTTTCGTTTAACTTCACTTCGTATATAACCGAAGCGAAACTAGCATCCTTAGACGTCAAATATGGGAGACGATGTTAGAGGATATTCGATTCCTGTAGGATTCCGGGGCGGGAGAGCTTCGTAATGAAGTCCTGAACAATTTTCAGTGTCGAGGGAATTTGTGAATGAGAATGAATGATCCAAATACAGCACAGTGGGGAATTAAAGGTTCTGTACTAACTTTATCCTGTACGCCCAGATTTGGTTTTATTGTCCGCCGTTCTACGATCAGTATTGGACCCAGATTTAGTGGATGTCGTATATTAAATTCAATTCATTAGATTTTGATTGTAAATGTTGGATACGGCTTTAAGACTATTGCTCTGTATGCGCGTTGATTTATTACCAAAGGCTTTGTTCAATGCTCTTTTACAAAACATTAATAACCTGAAATTGAAGCGATGAATAAGATGGATTAATGTTTCTATCCGTTTTTGTTCAAATACTTTGAAGGGTACGTAAAAAATGGTTGCAATTTAGTTATGGAACACTTACTTCACTTTCACTTTGATTAATTGAACGTTATAATCGCGTATAAAAAGAAATTCAAAATGGCCCTGGGGATTTTATTACTGAAATCAATTACAAAACGAGTCCGTAGAGCAAAATAGTTAAACTCGCAGAAATTCCACAGTTCATGCAATGTAATTTCCTGTTTGTAAAATAGTCCGGACATTGGCGGTCCCTGCGACACATTAGACCACATTGCTGCAGGACATTTCTGTTTCTGTTGATAATATTCCTTTTCTGCTATTACACAAACATGTTGCCAGGTATGCCGTGTAATAAAACTCCCATTCTACCACATTTTTTTCAAAGGATTGTTGCATTACTACGAAAATCGAATATTTGTGGTATACCGTACAAAATATACTTCAAATTTCAACTGCAATTTGTGTCAAGTGGAATTTATTGGAAAACATTGGCGCGTCTATAAAGGAAACTATAACCACAAAAGCAAATCAAGTTTCACAAAGCTTATGCTAATTTCTGCCATTAAACGAACTTATAGTAAATTTAAACTTCAGTTTTAGCCTAGC